TTGTCCTGGACACTGAACCCAACTTAAAAGCTGTTTGAATTCTAGGGGGAACTGGATTTACTATTATGTTTTTATGTATATTTATTAATCATATGAACAACAACAAAAATTGTAATTGTTACTGAGTTTCTAATATAAAAGGAATTTGCAAATTGTTCCAAATGTTATTGTTATAAACTTGATTCAAAACACATTGTCATACCAATCTGGCTTAAAGTTTGAGATGCCAATGCTTTTGTAAAAATATTCATGTGATAAATGCAAATGTTTGCTTGAATTTTTAAAAAGGATTCCGAGCCAAATCCTACAGTGACCTAAATGGAAATGTTTTTAGTAAAAATCTGGGATAGTTACATTCGTTTTAATGAAACTTACTGTAGTTCCAGTTCATTATATGAGGGAAAAGAACAGAAGCTAAATTGTCCTAAATTGATACATATATAGTAGTTCATGCATGCAGGCATGTCCATGCATTCCTTAAAATGCTTTCCTAAAATAATAGTTTCTCAATTCTAATAAAAATTACCTTAGCAACACTTAGTGATACTTCACTCAGATTTGAATTACTGCTTTTTTCCTTTGCAACCAAGCTATCATTTGTCAAGGGCGATGTAGCCTTCCCTTCCTTGAGAATTTTTTTGTTGTTGTTGTTATGCATGTTGTTATAACCAATGCTGAAGTAGAGATCTGTTGAATACTTCTCTTGAACTTAGCTAAAGGGCCAGGAAGTGATGAGGCCTGTTGAATTGTAGATCCTTGCTTGAAGTTGAAAGCATAGAATCATTAGACAGCTGAAATAAGGCTAGAATGAATTTACTCTAACAGTGAGTGTTTGAAAAATGCCTAGTTGAAATTAAATTGTTTCTTGCTCATCAATTTTCTAAAGCTCACTACTAAAGCATTTTTGTCCTCTGGCCAATCAACTGTTTGGAGAGTACTATAAAACTTGCAGTATTGCAGAACTGCATATAAAAGAAACCAATTTGGATCCAGATAAACATTTACCAGAATAGAGGTGTTTGCTCTTCTAAATTAATATTCAGTGGTAGTATGTGTAGGTTCAGCCCAAATCTGTGACTCTGCCAAACCTACAGTTACATTTTAAGGTATATCTGCACTGCAAATGTTAACTGAATTAACAGACTCTGGAGGCTGGATTGTTTTAGTTTATATTTGCAGGACAGACATACCTCTTGTATCAAGTGGTGCTTATAGCTGCATATGTGCAATGCATATGTGTTTATTCAGAGTAAATGCTTGCTTGATATAAGTTTTTTTAAAAATTGTTGATTCATTTTTGGATAAACTTGCAAAGTGTATATTGAAAGGTTTTTAACTGTAAAAAAGCTGTTAAAATTAGTTAAGTTTTTACACTGATTTAAAGTTTTAGCAATGTAATGAAAAAATGTTCTCCGTTGTTGCTGACCTTTGTAAACATTACAGGGCTTTCAACTTTACAGCTTTTTCTTTGATATAATTGAGGATCTAGCATTGCCATATGAAAAAAAGTGCCCATTAAGTTATGTTTGTTGTGTGAAGAAATGATAGCAAAGAACAAAGTGATGCTATCCATTGAAAATGCTATTAGACTGTGAGCAGTGATTAAAAAATGTATGTTCTGAAGAATGTATGAAAGATACTTTCCTATAGTGTAGAATGATTCCTAATTGTCGGTAGCTTCTAATGAATGTACAACATGTAAATGGATGTTTGTGCACAGCCTTAACCTCAAGTTCGCTTTTTTCCCCTTTATGACATGGGAATGTTCCATAATATACAGCATATATCCCAGTGCTTGCAACTGAACTGTCTCATACATTGTATTCTTCAGTTCTTGGAATGAATTAATTTTATTGTTGTTTTGCACATTCCAGCTTTGTAAGAGTTTCATCCCTGTTTCATTTTTAGGTACAGAAAGTTATTAAGCCTCATGTTCACTGAAAATAATACTTAAATATTGTAGTGTTCCTTTACATGTTATTCTCTCTCATCAGTTTTAATAGATGTATAATCTCTGTCTAGTTAAGGCTGAGGATGAAAGCTGTTCATTGAAGAATGTCTGTATGTAGATTTAGCTTCATGTGTGCCATGGTATTTTTTATGCTTTATCCTACAAAGAGAGCTTAAAAAACCTTTTACCTTATTTTGGAACAGTAAGAAAAACAAAGTCAAATGTGTATCTTTTATCATGCACAGCCCCCCAAATAAAAATGAATGAAAATTGTTTTGTGTTATTTTTCAGAATTGAAGATGGTTGGGTTACCACATTGTCCTCATGTACCTTTGTTGCTCATTTGTCTTTTTTAACAGGGAAGATCTCAGAAAGTCTACATACTGCATACAAAATAACGAAGTTCTTAATTGCAAATTAATGTTTCAGAGTATATGGTATGCATGTAGTAATAACTCTGTAAGTATATCCAAGGCAAAGATTAGGGATCATAATTTTGCTTTCAGTCCAACTCAAATTTGGACAATCTTCTTGTCCTCCCCTTCTTTTTGTTTTTTCCCCTTTCTTTTCTTCTAATATACATTGAAAGCACAACTGAAGAAAGATCAGAAAAAGAAATTTAAAAAGCAAAAGTAAGTAGAAAAGAGCTTTATAAACTATATAAAATTTAATAATAATTTTTGGAATAACATTAAATTAGAACTTTATCAATTTGGTGCTTTAAAATCATTATTAAAATCAAGTCAATATTCAATAATTAACAAAAGGAAGCAATATAGTAAGAATCATCAATCAGAATAAACAAGTAACAAGACTATCTTAATATAAAAAGCAGACCACATGTAACATTTTCAGGCCTTAAATAGAAACCCAAACGATGAATGTGGTACAAGTCCATATGCAAAATTATAATCCATAAATAGTCTCTAGGCTAAATTAAATTTTGTATCAGACTTATTTTTAAAATATTAAGTTATTTTGACATTAATGCACACTCCCGCAGCTTAATCTGCCATTCTTCTGTGGAAAGAATTATGTGTGATTTCCAGTAAGAGCTATAAAATATGCTGGCAGCTGTTATATCAAAGTCAAATCTGTATACTTCATAGGAATAGGTTTGGTGACGTTTAGCAGAAAAACAGCTGACAAGAAAAAGATTTGTTTGATTCTATAATAGATAGTCTTCCAGAATATCCCCCTTCTTCAGTGTTCACATGTTCAATGTAATATTTGAAAGGGAATTAGTTAAAACATTTCTGTTCTTTTACTAATAGAGATTGGCAGGTATGAAGTTTAAAGGATTAAATGGTGCTATATATTCTTCATTTACCAATGAGTGGTAAACCAAGTATCCAGATTTTTAAATTTATTTATAAACTTAAACATCATAGAATGGAATCACAATTACTTCTGCAGCTGATAACACTACTACTAATCCTACAAAAATTTCCCGCCCATTTTACTATTGTGCAACGAACTGCTTCTAGCATGGGCTATATATCTCATGCTGACTATACCCCAGTCCTCCAAAGCCGATCTGGAGACTGGATGGGGAACTGCATAGGAAAGGAAAATATGTTTCAGCAAGATTTCTGTTCTGCTACCGGATTACCACCCTTGGTTACAACCCAGTTTTATCCCATTCCAGCTAAACTTTAAAGTTTAACTATTAAACTACGTCTTAAATATTAAATTACAATTGCTTTTCTTTTACAACAGATACTCGCCCAATACTTGTACACTGTACCATCTTATATACAGATCGATGGTTAAGTAAACTATTGTTAGATTAGTTCCAGTTGAGAAATTATGAACTGTTAAAGGTAGCTTGATAAAGAATGTTTACCCGGTGTCTAATAATTAAAACTATCCATACACAATAACAGTGGAGTTGTTTGTGATTTATGGATTTGCTTATATCACCAATTGTGCAGTATTGATTAATGACTGGCCCATCTGTAAAAAATGTAAATCTCATTGCTTAATCTCAGCAATGAGGGTGACTGCTGCAGAATTTTATTTTATTTATTTAAATAATTTATAAGGTCACCCATCTCTCAACAGTGACCCTGGGCAATATACAAAAATTAAAACACAACAATTAGTAACCCATGATGTGTCATAAAAACACATGAACAACAGGGCTAGCCTAACTTCCTTGCCCAAATCCCTGGGGAAACAGCCAAGTCTTCAGAACCTTATGAAAGGCCAGTAGGCTTGAGTTCTTTTGGGTCAAGCAGAAACAATGGGAGAAAGGCGGTCCTGCAAATAACTTGGCCCTGTGCCATACCCTCTGGCCCTCTGTAATTGATACAGAATAATGTCCAATCCTAAGTATTATGGATAAAAATGCTATCTTGTAATTTTTTTTTAATGCAGTAAGTGGAATGAGCAGGACTGAATTCAAATCTTGTTTGTTATTCAAGCAATCTTTTTTTTTTTAATATTCTGAAAATAATTCAGTGTGCAAAGTCTGATCTCTGCAGTAGAAACATCCCCTTGCAGGCATTTGAGCCCAGTTGAAAATAAACTATTATTGATATCAGCCCTACAAGGTAGAACAGATTAAGAAACAGACACCTCATAGGCCCAAAACTATTTTTATTAGATTGGCTATAGTAACAGAATCTTGCAAGTCTGAATGTGCTTCCTCTTCTCCCTCTTTTATCTTCACCTGAATTAGGGGGCACCTGCCTTAGGAGTTTTCGTAAATCTCCATCTTTGTATGGGCTTAAGTTTATCTGTTTGTAGCTTTGGTAACAGATCTTCCCTCTCTCTGTCAAGGCCGTCTCTACAATTGATGAAAGCCAATCAGTGTGTGAACAGGGTAAAAAAAAAAATCCCTTTAACATAAATACCTGTCAGAGTTCATGATATCAGATATGGATGTGTCACACAGGTCTTATGTGGATCTTCCCAGTTTCCCAGAACATTTATGATTTTTCATTCTTCCTGTGCATTTAAAAGTTCTATGTGATAAGCCAGCCTCTCCAAATAAGATAA